AACTCAGTGCTCGTGGATCACTCTTTTCTTTATTTAAAAATATTTTGTTTTCTTTAGAAAGCCAGTTCATTAAGATGCAACTTAGGAACAGCCAAATGGAAGAGATGCATAATGCATCATCTTGAAGGAAAGTTCAGAAGAGTAGAAAGATGGGGTAGGAGGAAGTCACCTGGAACCCCACCAGTCAAACACAACAACAATGAATATTTTGCTGTATTTCCTTCAAATATTCATTATATTCATACTGCATTTACAAATTAGTCTAGGTGAAATCTTTAGAAAGAATTTCCTACTCCTAACCTAGGCCTGCTTTGGACAAAGAAAACCTTGATAGTTTAATTTGTCCTCGGGACCCATGGGTGTGGATAGGTTTGGGCCCCAGCAGGTCAGGGGCTCCAGGAGAGCCCATCAAACTTGGGCTCGCCATAGTCACTCACACCAGACCTGGGGCAGGGGATGGCCAGACTAGGGGTTACCCTCTCTCCTGCCCCCCACCATCACTCCCACCAGCTTTATTATTTTTACCTTTCACATTTAGAGCCAGTTAGTTTGGGGATATGATATGAATTCATTTTTCCAGACTCCTTTTTTTTTTCATATGGATATCTAATTGCTTCACCTACATTTATGGAAAAGATCATCTGTTCCCTACCATATTGCAGTGTCACCTTTGTCATAAATTAAGTGACCTTATGCGAGTGGGTCTATTTCTAGATTCTGTCTTCTGTTGCACTGGCCTATTCATAAGTCTTTGTGCCAGTTTCACACTGTATTAATTCTGGTTACTTTATAATAAATCTTGATATCTAGTAGTGTAACCCTCCAACTTTGTTCTTCAAGATTGATTTGACTATTCCTGATTCTTTATGCTTCTCTGTACATTTTAGAATCAGTTTGTCAATTTCTACCAAAAGGAGTATGCTGGGATTTTGATTGCAATAACTCTGTAGGTTAATTTGGGAATAATTGATATCTTTACAATATTGAGGCTTCCAATCTATGAACATTCTTTATTATCTTTAACGTTTGATATTTTTCAATGTAGAGACCTTGTGCATCTTTGATTAGATTTATTCCTAGGTATTTGATATTTTTAATGTAAAGTGGGAAAGGGTGTCTGAGGGGTTTTGCCCTAATAACACTTCTGACAGCAAATGAGAGGGTTTTTCTCCTCCTGAGATCATTTCTCCAACTCTCTGACACCAACTGGGTGTTCAACAATTCAATTTGATTCTGACACTAACTACCTGGATTAGCACAGACTCCTCAGGCTCAGTCCCACAAACTGCCCCCCACTTTGGACTCAGGTTCCAAGGCCCAGGTCCCTGTACCTCTGACCAGCTGGCTAATAATTGAGGTTCCCACGACCCCCTCCTCACATTTGATAATTTGCTAGGATGGCTGGTGGAAGTCAGGAAGGCACTTTACTATTACCAGTTCATTAAGATGCAACTTAGGAACAGCCAAATGGAAGAGATGCATAACGCATAGGGCAGGGTATGGGGGAAGGGTGCAGAGCTTCCATGCTCTCCCCAGACGCGTCACCCTCTCAGGACCTTGAGGCGTGCACCAGCCCTGAATCCTATCTCTGAGGGGTTTCATTAAGTAGGCACAATTGATTAAATCATTGGTTATTGACGATTAACTCAATCTCCAGCCCCTCTTCCCTCCCCAGAGGTGGGAATGGGGAGGCTGAAAGTTCCAACACTCTTGTCACTCTGGGGATTCCAAGAGGTTTAAGAGCTCTGTGCCAGGAATAGGGGGCAGGGTGTGGGGTGTACAAAGACCAAACGTCTATTTCCCATTGTACCACAGAATCTTTTTTTAAATTTCATTTTCTATTTGTTTGCTGCTGGTATGCAAAAATACAATTTTTTTTTGATATTGACCTTGAATTGGGGACTTCTAAAATTCACATTTAATCCCAAAAGTTTGTATGTAGATTTTTCTATGTACACAGTCATATTGTCCCAGGCAGTGTTGGCCTCACCATGGTTTTGGGCAAGTCCTGGCAGCCTCCCTTTAGGTGTGGATTTCCCGCTAGCTAAGTGGCTGGCTCTGATTTCTAAATCTCTACTCCCCCTCCCCCAAAGCCTGAGCTCAGTTCATTGCTTCTGTCAGCTCCCCACCTCCCCTGTAACCCCTGGATCCTAGGACTCTGCACTGTCCTTCTTTCTCCTCAGGCCCTTCCTGCTGCCTGTGGGAAGAACTTATTCTGGAATTGCTGTTAGGGTGGACTCAGGAGGGGCATCCCAGAGTCATGTAGACCATTTGCTAAAGATGCTTTGCAGGAACTTCCCTGGCAGTCCAATGGTTAGGATTCCATGCTTCCACTGCAGGGGGCGAGGGTTCCACTGATGCCTGGTCAGGGAACTAAGATCCCGCATGCTGCGGTGCAGCCAAAAACAAAAAACCGAAAAAAAAAAACAAAAACAAAAAAGATGCTTTCCCTGGGCATTCCTGCAGCAAATGCTGGGCCTTTGGGTTCAGCCGGGGAGTTGGGGCCAGGGATGTTCTGGTGGGGGGAGAGGGAAGTATTAGCCACCTCTTTTGCAACTCTAGGCTGTGTCCCTACACCTCCAGAAGGGCTTACAGAGTGGGGAGGACAGTGCAACCATCAGCTGAGCTAATCCAGAGATAGTGGGTCTGTCAGGACAGAACTGCAGAACTGAGACTCTTCTGTAGCCGAAGACTACACGGAGGAGGCCAGGCTTTACCAAGCTATGAAGAGTCCATGTCGTGGAGCGGTGACGAGGGCCCCAGAACGAGAAATCAGGCATGACCCCTGCCAGGTGACTCCGAGAGGGCAGGAGTTGGGCATCACTCCCAGACTTGGATCTGCTCACGTTCTGATGTCTGCAGGGACCTGAGTTGAGAGACAGGATGCACGGAGAGGTAACATAGCAAGAGAAACGCCCCTTTTTCCTGGGAATTCGCTCATTTAACACTCCCTAAACTCTGTGCGTTATTTTTTATTAACCACATTCTATAGATGAAGAACGCTGAGGCTCAAATCATTAAGGTAGCTCGCTCAAAGTCTCCCCAAATTAGTGGAAGACTCCCTGCAACTCACCTGTAACTCAAACGGTTATATTTCATTCCAAAGTCCTTGGTCCTTGGGGCTCCTGCACATGTGGCTTTGCCTGGTGGGAATGTTTGGTAGATTTCCTGAACCTCAAGGTCCCCAAAAGTGGCTGCCATTCCAAGAGGTATGACATGGATTCAGATTGATTCATGCTTGGTGAATGCCTAGTGGAGAGACTTGGCCGTTTGAGCCCCCTGCCTTCCCGAGTGGCACCAGCTGCCTCCCAGATCTGTGACCTGCTCCAGAACCTGTGAATGTGACCAGGAAAATTCTCTCTCTGGAGCAGGAAAAAAAAGAGAGTGCCATGGCACAGATCTATCCAGTTCTGTAGATAGATGAATGATCCAAGCATTCAATTCAAGAAACACACATGTCTTGTTGAAACAAACCTAGAAGTGACTTTTCCAGCTGACAGAAGAGCCCACTGAGTGTCCTTAGCACCCATCGCCCCACACAAATGCACTGAGCTATTCTGAGCCACTTCAAATACAATAGCATTCTAGTGGGTACCCCCAACCCTGTCTTCCATGTGGTCCCAGCCCAGGGCTCCCTGAAGGTGAGGCCAGAGCAGCACTTTGGAAGAGTCACTTTGCCTCCTGGGTCTCCAGTCTCCCTCTCTCAGATCTGCATGCCGGTGTCACTCAGAGCTGTTGTTAGAGCTTAATAGTGCCTAAGGCAAACCCAAACCAGCAAGGCAAAGGATGGAGGTTTGACTGCAGGTGATGTTTTTTACAATCAGAGTTCTGAGACCAGAGAGAAGGGGACCCAGAGGGAGGTGGGCTCTCTCTTCCTGGAGAGCTTTTCCCCTAAGATAGCTGCCCTCACCCACCCCAGCAGTGCCCTTAGCTCAGGGCCTTTCCAGAATTAGGGCCGAGCACCTGGGGACCATAAGGGCCCTTTTAGTTTGGTCCCTGATGGGGCAACATGTCTCTGAATCAGCAGCTTGACTTTTTATGAAGTTGTATGTCACATTAGCAGTTTTTGGTTTTGAACCATTCTGGGACAAACCCGAGTTGACTGTGTTATAAAAGAAACAAACAAACAAAAAAAAAAACCCTTTAACGAACAATTGGATTCAATTTGCTAATTTTCTTTAGGATTTTCATTTATGTTCAGAAGTGAAATTGGTTCAAATTTTCCTTTCCTTTTACTTTTTTTTAAAATTTATTTATTTTTGGCTGCGTTGGGTCTTCGTTGCTGCACGTGGGCTTTCTCTAGTTGCGGCAAGCGGGGGCTACTCTGTTGCAGTGCGCGGGCTTCTCATTGCAGCGGCTTCTCTTGTTGCAGAGCACGGGCTCTAGGTGCGCTGGCTTCAGTAGTTGTTGCTCGTGGACTCTAGAGCACAGGCTCAGTAGCTGTGGCGCACGGGCTTAGTTGCTCCACAGCATGTGGGATCTTCCCGGGCCAGGGATCGAACCTGTGTCCCCTGCATTGGCAGGCAGATTCTTAACCACTATGCCACCAGGGGTCTTCCTTGTACTATTCTTATCTGGTTTAAGAATCAAAATCATACTTCATAAAATGAGTTTGCCAGCTTTCCTCCCTCTTCCCCACCCCCCTTTTAATTCTTCGACGGTGGAATGTTATTTGTCATGGGCTTTGGATCTTATAAATACACACCCCCCCGGGTCTGCCTCCTCAGCAGGGGACTTGGCGCAGATGAGAAGACAGACACCTCGTTTCCTCCTTTGTAGTCTGTGTTGGCTTATTTATGGGGCTTTTGCTGCTTCTGGGACTGCTCTGCGGGGAGCTAGCCATTTCCCTGAGGGAGTAGGCCTGAGAGGTGGGTCGGTGCAGGGGGTTGAAGTGGGGGAGGGAGTCTGGGGCCCCAGTACCCACTGCGGCCACCTGTCCTTCCCGGGGCCAGGCTCCTGTGAAGCCCCCTCTGGAACTCAGTCTGACCCTCCCCACGCAGGCACCATGTTCCGCAAGAAAAAAAAGAAACGCCCTGAGATCTCGGCCCCACAGAATTTCCAGCACCGTGTCCACACCTCCTTCGACCCCAAAGAAGGCAAGTTCGTGGGCCTCCCCCCACAATGGCAGAACATCCTGGACACACTGCGGCGACCCAAGCCCGTGGTGGACCCTTCACGCATCACCCGGGTGCAGCTCCAGCCCATGAAGGTGAGGCGGGCATCAGGGATGGCGGAGGGGGAGGATTCAGACCATCCCCCTTCACAGAGGGCTGCTGACAAGACCACACAGGCACCTGAAGAACCACCTGATTTACCAGCTATCAGTTAGCCAGGATGTCTTCATTCCCGGCTAATCAGCCTCTCGTTCTCTCCCTGGGTGACCCAGGGAGGAGGATCCTGGGGAGTCCCTCTCCACAGGGTGGTAGGGTTGCCAGATTTAGCAAATAAAAATACAGGATGCCCAATACAATGTGAGTTTCAGATAACAAATAATCTTTAAGTATGTCCCATGCAAAATTTGGACCTGCAGCCCCTGTGGGGCTGGGGGCTGTCACAGACCCAGGGGATTAAGTTGTGTGGGTCAGGAGGGGTTGATGCAAGAGCCTGATAGGGGTTGGGGTCAGGGCCCTGTCAGGGTTTGGAGGCCACAAAGCCAGTATGTGTGGAGGAGAGCCCTGGACTGGTGCGTGTCCCCTGGAAGGCCACACACAGACAGAGCTGGAGAACGGCAGCGGGCCCCAGGCAAGGCCTGCAGTCTCCCCAGCTCCCGAAGCTCAGCTGCCGGCACCATCAGGCACGCTGGATTGAACGCCACGGCTACTCACCTGTCTGCCCTGCTAGACTGTGGGCCGGTGAAAATGAGGCTTCTCCCTGTATCCGTCCGCCAGCACAGGCCTGGCCCGCCGTGGGCCCTGGGTAGGGGCTGAAAAATTAAGAATAGATGGATGACACAGCAAGCGAGGTCCATGGTGCTCCTCCCCAAGGCCCCGCAGGGAGGCTCTCTGACCTGGTCCCCGCCCAGCGCCCCCTCCCTGCCATGACAGGAGGCTCACCACGCTCTTCCCCCTCCCCTGCAGACAGTGGTGCGGGGCAGCGCGGCGCCCATGGACGGCTACATCTCGGGGCTGCTCAACGATATCCAGAAGTTGTCAGTCATCAGCTCCAACACCCTGCGCGGCCGCAGCCCCACCAGCCGGCGGCGGGCACAGTCCCTGGGGCTGCTAGGGGATGAGCAGTGGGCCGCCAACTCGGACATGTACTTGCAGAGCCCCCAGTCTGAGCACAGGGACCCCCATGGCCTCTACCTCAGCTGCAACGGGGCCGCACCAGCAGGGCGCAGGCATATGCCATGGCCCGAGCCACAGAGCCCGCGGGTCCTGCCCAGTGGGCTGGCCACCAAGGCACAGTCCCTGGGCCCCACCGAGTTCCAGGGTGCCCCGCAGCGCTGCCTGCAGAGCTCCCCAACCGGCACCTCGGCCTCCACGGCTGCGGGCAGGCGGGGGCCCAAGATTGCCGGGCATGGCTCTGAGGAGGCCCGGCCACAGTCCTGCCTGGTGGGCTCGGCTGCAGGCAGGCCGGGGGGGGGAGGGCAGCCCCAGCCCTAAGACCCCGGAGAGCAGCCTGAAGCGCAGGCTGTTCCGAAGCATGTTCCTGTCTGCTCCTGCCGCCGCCCCTCCAAGCAGCAGCAAGCCAGGCCCTCCACCACAGAGCAAGGTAGGTCAGGCCACGGCCTCCGCTGGGGCCACTCTTGACAGGGCAGGGAGCCTGGCCCGGCAGCATCCGCTGGGGACACAGGCCCTGCCCAGCCTTCCCCACTTACACGGTCGGATTGGGGAAAGCATGAGGTAAACAGATCATCAGCTGAGGATTCTACCCTGAACCAGCTGAGCCCTAGCGCTCCAAAGGCTTTGCACGTGTGAGTCAGATGTTGCAAGCCAGGTCATTTTCCGGGGGCCTCTGAGGGGCTGTGGTACGCCTCAGCTGACATTCCTGCCCTCTGGGGTGTATCTAGGCGGACCACACGGGGAGGCAGGCACCCCTGAAAAAGCAGCACCTTTAACCACAAGCCCAGACCCTCCCCTGCCCCCAGTGCCCAGCGACCCCACCCAGGCTCCAGCCCCGGGGGGTGGGGAGGGGGGGCAGGGTCTCTCTGGCTCCCTTTTCTGATCTTTTTTCTGCCTGGACCCCCAGCTTGTCCCAGTGCTCTCCTGAGGTCATACACAGCCTCTCTGCGCTGCTTCTGCCAGAGGTTTATGTTACCCCTTCTCTAGTAAGGATTCTTCCCTGCCTCCCTCCCTCCTTCCCTTCCTCCCTCCCTTCCTTCCTTCCTTCCTTCCCTTTTTCTAGTAGTTCTTGCTTTGTTTGACATTCCTGTAGTTATTTATTCTCATACTGTGTGCCATATGAAAAGCTAGAGGATTGAATTTGCCTAGGTCTGGGAGCAACAGGAGAGCTGACTTTTGGCGTGTGACAGCCTCAAATGCACATATTTTTCTTGTAAAAAAGGAAACAGTGAAGGGAACCCTAATGGTGACATTTTTGGGCAGGCCGAGGAGAACATTTTTGCTTCTTACGTGCCCTATGACATCCTGTCCGTGGTGACAGTGACATCCTTTCCCATTTGGCAGATGAGAAGACTGACTCAGAGAGCGTGGTACAACCCCCTGGCGTCGCGAACGAGTCAGCCGAAGGTGGGAGGGAAGGCTTTTCCATGAAGGCATCTTTTAGCTCCTCCCTGAGGGTCAGACAGAAATGAGCTTAGGCTGCAGCACAAGGGTTGTTAAGTCTCACCTAAGAAACCGCCACTGACAGCGGCATGAGTAATGGAGTCCCCCCTCCCCGGATGGCGTCAGTGTGTCCAGCCCAATCGTGGGGGGGGGGCGGTGGGGGGTTGAGGGGTGGCCTGGACCCTCAACCCCATATAGGTCACTGCCAGCCCAAGGCACCCAGGGAAGGTTCTGGGCTTTGTGCCCTCCAGTCCCCACTGGGACAAAGGATGGTAGGCTGGGATCCCCTGTGGGGCAGGGGCTTTAGGGAGGAACAGATGAGACGTGGCTTGATATGCCCCGTGAGAAAACATGAGTGCCTGTGAGCTGAGGGGTCTCTGGAAGGCTGTACCCCTGGGGAGACATTCCCCAGAAAACTAAGGTGGGAGCAGGACAGTGCACCCTGCCAGGAAGTGCACTTCGAGAGTCCTAATGGGGTGGGGGGTGGTTTCAGGGATTTGGAGAAAGGGGGTGTCAAAACTGGTATGCATGGTCCTAGGCTCCTGCCAGCACCCCACAGCAGGGGGCAGGCCAACCGCCCGCATCCCCGCACACCCACAAAGCACCTACTGTGGGCCACTGCTGCGGGCTGTACGAGGTCTCCCCTGCCCCTGAAGAGTCAGGTGGTGCCCAGCCGGGGCTCAGAAACACCACGGTTCCAAATCCAGGGGAGTGGTTTCCTTCTTGGCCCCCTGGGCACACCTTTCTAGATGGATGTTCTCAAGCCAGGCCTCCGAAAGGCGGGGCCGAGACTGCCCCACAACCGCTCTGGGCCAGGGCTTCTCAACCCTGTACTATTGACGTTTGGATCAGATAATCCTTTGTTGCAGGGGCTCTTCTGGGTGTTGAAGGATATTTAGAAGCATCTCTGGCCTCTATGCACTAGATGCTAGTAGCACCCCTCAGATGGGACAACCCCAGATCCCTCCAGACATTGCCAAATGTTCCTTGAGGGAAAAAAAAATCACCCCCAGTTGAGAACCACTGCTCTCAGCAAATTACCATATGGTTGGGAAGCATTCAGTTTCCTCCTCCTCCCCCAAGGCCTGGGCCCTGGGAACCCAGACCAAGCCAGCAGCCAGCCCCCCGCACTCAGCACATCCCAGAGGTTGGCCCTGGACACTCACAGCAACTCCTAAAGCAGCAGTCCATGCACTAGTGCCCTGGGAGGGCAGGCCACCAATAGCCACAGCGTGCCAGGCATGGCTGCAGGAGGGTCTGTGACCTAGAGCTCTTGTACTCAGCCCCAGGCAGCTTGGCCTGCACTCACTCGCTTTGGCTAAAGAGCAAAAGGAGACCTCAAGTGGGGACAGAGAGGCCAAAGAGGTAAGACAGTTAGGAGCTTGGGAGATTTAGAAGGGGTCCCACTTAGCGGCAGAAATGCCTTGTCAGAAAGACCTCAACAATCAGCAAACCTTGGTTAAGCACCTACTGTGTACCATGTACTCGGTTACATGCCAAGGATCCCCAGTAGGACCACTGCATAGGGATCAGAGGTTAAGCTGATCAGGGCTGAAGTCTGGCCTTGTCCCTTACGGCTTAGTGACTCTAGGCAAGTTACTTAACCTCTCTGAGCCTGTTTCCTCATCTACCAATGTAGATAATAATATTACCCATGGGCTGATAAATCAGTCCACAGGGCTATGAGAATTAAATGAGATAATGCATTTAAGGCCCTTGTCAAAGTGGTAAGCCCTCAATAAAATGGCTCTAGTATTTCTTAAATATTATGAAATGGCCTCTGCCTGGGCGGCACTAACAGAACAGCCTCCTGAGCCCACAGCTGGAGAGCCTGGCCCTGTCTTCTTAGCCTGGGAAGGGAACATGAGGCATCATTGTAACTCCATGTACAACTCTTCTTTCTAGTGGCTTCCTGCCCAAGAAGAGGCCTCAGTCACACAAGTAACTCTAGAATTAATCCAGAGCCCCTAACAATTAATTCCACCTTTTGTCCCCCTTTCCCTTTCTTGGAGCGGTTTAACACGTATCATCTGGTCCTTTCTCGTGGTTACGTTAAGTAAAATCTCCCTCCTTGTGGAGACAGGCAGCAAGGGCCACAAAGGGACACTTGGGACCAGACCCTGCTGAGGTGAAGACCAATCCTGGCCCGACCACCCCCGTGTCCTATGTCCCATGTCCCAGGCCACATCAGAGCTGGCTGCCTCCCCCAGATCCGTCTGCTGCTTCCATCCACCTGCTGCCTCCTCGGCCCCTGAGCTCAGCCAGCACCTGCGGCAGGGTCTCCACAGGGGCCTCGACAGCAGGGGGGGAAGCGAACCCACCTCCTCAGTCCCTCTGCCTGACTTGTCCCCACCCTCCCATGTTCACTCATCCTCAGAGCAGAGAGCTCATGCGGGAGGCCGGGAGGCCAGAAGGAGAGGGAAAATGTTTTACCGCCTTCCTTAGAAATCCAGAGTGGAGAGAGGTCAAGGGCCGTGAGAGCAATCTCAGGAGCAGCTTTAGGAGCTTTTCGGATCCCCAATCTCTGCCCAGCCCCACACAGATGCTCAGAGAGCACATTTTCTGTGTTAGGTCCATGCCTCACAGGCCAGCGGGCAGCCTTTTCACAGAGCCTTGGAGGCTGCTACCGGGTGACATCTCATGGTCCTTCTGCTCCTGGTTGTGGCCTCACAGCCTTGGTGGTGGCCGTGCTCCCTCCACCCCGAGTCCCAGCCCTCCCACAGGCTCCCCAAGGCCATGGAATTGCAGAGCTGCTCAAATTGTGGGCCAAGGTTCCTCTCACATCCAAAGCCACGGGCCTTGTTAAACTGCGGAGTCCCTGCTCTAGGGACCTGCTGAAGCCGTTTCCAAGGCCAGGGAATCTGCATTTTATCCAGCTCCCCAGATCACCGTGCCTTCACAGAGGAGACTGGGGCTCAGAGAGGGGGAATGGCCTAAGATTCACCCCAAGTCAGAGCGGAGCAGGACTGGAACCCAGGTCCTGACCCCCCAGTCTGGAGTTCCCACTGCTCCACCACAACACAGTAGGGAAAGGGGGGTGAGGTCGGTGCTGGTGCTGGCGGGGACAATCCATTTACTGCACACATGTGCTTGCCGGGCGGGGGTGGAGTAGTCACGGCAGTCCCAGGAGGTTTACCTGGCTCCTTCACCTCGAGGGCTGAGCACGAGTCAGGCACGGCCTGGCAGAGGCTGGAGCACACTCAGTGGGCCTGCGGGGCTGGAGGTGGCAGAGCCCCACAGCATGGCTGTCGCCAGAAGAGGCACCGTGCACATGCCCAATAATAGGCAAGGCCAGGGACTGGGATGAGAGCCCTGAAGTCTAGTGGGGAGGGGTGCTGAAGAGGTTGTAAAGGCCCTGGCTGAGCCTGGTAGCACCCAAGGCCCCGATTCAAGCAGCCCAGCCCAAGCTGAGTGCTTGAGTAGATTCCCTGGAAGCTGATTCAGTTTTGAGGATGAAGACCAGCACCCTCTAGGCACCTAGACAACCGCCTATGAGATGGGCTCTGAGATGTTCCGGGAAGGCCCCTCTGCAGCTCCTCAGGTGTCCCCCATTAGGTTGCACATGGCCCTCTCCAGGTGGCCCTTTTAAACATACACAATCCCTGGGAAGGGTCCTGCTGCACTTCGCCAGCTCCTTGGGGACACCCAGGGATGGGACCCTTTCCTGCTGGGGCTGCCCGGAAGGCTGGGCCTGAGCAAGACTCACTGGGGGCCCAGCCTGCTGCTCGATTCCATCTTCCCTCCCTCCCTCCCTGCCAGAGACCAGAAAGATAGGCCCCCTGCCTTCTCTTCCTTCTTGGGGGGTCATCAGCCAGGAGTTCCATGTGGCTAGTGGAGGAGCTCCTCTGGGGAGCCCTGAGGAAACCCCCTCACCCCTGGCCCCAAGGCTTGGGTTTGGCTGGACCTACCCTCCTGATTCCAGATCTCTCTAGCACCAGATCCCCAGCCCAGGAGACACCTGAGGACCCCCCAAGATGGTAACATGGCTCTGTGGTCCTCTGTTGGGGACCTAATCTCACCGCACAGACACGCAGACGCCCCGTTGTCAGGAACAATTGGGACTATTAGACGGCAGCCGTGTGTCCTGGGAGTCAGTCACAGCTGCCTCGCTGCAGCCCCCGCCCCTACGCCCAGGGCCTCTTCTGCCCGCATGGGCCCTTGGGTAGGGTAGCCACGGTTGTGAACGCCTCTGACCCAGGTTGCCTCCTGGTGGCCTCCCTGGGGTCTGGCTGTCAGTCACCCAAGGAAGAAATACCGGCCCAGGACACCCCAGGGACTCGGCTTTGTCTTCGCAGGAAGGACAGTGTGGATATAAAGAGCTGTTGTTTTGTCTGCTCACCTGGGAACACTGGGGGTTGACTTCTCAAGCAGGACTATGGTTTGGCTTCAGCTCCATTTGAAAATCTTTGCTTGCGGCACCTCCCACATTAGTCTGACGCCCATCCCGGCTCTGCCCAACCCTGCCAGTGTCCAGAGGTCACGGCAGCCACCCCCTGCCTCTGGGAAGGGTACTCCAAATGCTCCCACAGCCAAACCCCTTTCGTTTCTTCCCTTCTCCTTGCAGCCCAACGCCTCTTTCAGACCACTGCAGAAAGACCGCCCCCCAAGCCTGGTGGCTAAGGCCCAGTCCTTGCCCTCAGACCAGCCCGTGGGGACCTTCAGCCCTCTGGCCACCTTGGATACCAGCAGCCCCCAGAAGTCCCTCCGCACAGCCCCAGCTGCCGGCCCTCCTCCAGGACGGTCTTCCCCGGCAGGCTCCCCCCGCACCCGGCATGCCCAGATCAGCACCAGCAACCTGTACCTGCCCCAGGACCCCGCAGTGGCCAAGGGTGCCCTGGCTGGTGAGGAAACGGGCGTTGTGACACACGAGCAGTTCAAGGCTGCACTCAGGATGGTGGTGGACCAGGGTGACCCCCGGCTACTGCTGGACAGCTACATGAAGATTGGCGAGGGCTCCACAGGCATCGTCTGCCTGGCCCGGGAGAAGCACTCGGGCCGCCAGGTGGCCGTCAAGATGATGGACCTCAGGAAGCAGCAGCGCAGGGAGCTGCTCTTTAATGAGGTGGGAGGAGAGGGCGTGGCGGGGCCTTTGGGACGGGCAGTGATGGTGGAGGCAGGCTGGACGTCTGCAAGCAGGGGCAGTGGGGAGGGTGCCCGGCACTCAGGCGTCCCCCCTCCTGCCCCCAGGTGGTGATCATGCGGGACTACCAGCACCTCAACGTGGTGGAGATGTACAAGAGCTACCTGGTGGGCGAGGAGCTGTGGGTGCTTATGGAGTTCCTGCAGGGCGGGGCCCTCACGGACATCATCTCCCAAGTCAGGTGGGCAGCTGAGAGGAATGGGACCCAGCGCTGGCTGCTCCCGTCACTGCCCTGGCAGGGATATTAGGCAGCCTCAGGCCCGGATGATTGGGGTGCCCGTCACGTGGTCCCGAGCCACACTGCCCACCCCCATCTGTTCGGGTTAACAGACCCAGGGGTCTCAGGGCAGTGGGGAAGACATGAGGTCTCCAGCCTAGGCCCAGGCCCGTTTCCAGGGCTCTAGCCTGACTGGGCTCCCACACACATCGTCCAGGAGCTGTGGGGCCCCGTACCAGGGGCACCTACTCTGCCCAGCCCGTCTTCCCTGCAGCCCCGCCAAAGCTAACATGCTCTTCTGCTGATGGCCCTGCCTTCCCCGTCCAGGCTGAATGAGGAGCAGATTGCCACCGTGTGCGAGGCCGTGCTGCAGGCCCTGGCTTACCTGCACGCCCAGGGTGTCATCCACCGGGACATCAAGAGCGACTCCATCCTGCTGACCCTCGATGGCAGGGTAGGGCCCTTCCCACCCTGGCACACCCACGACCCCACTTCACGGCTCCTCCTCCCTAGTTCGCCATCACTCCCCTTTCTCCCTCTCACCCCAACCCCAGGTGAAACTCTCGGACTTCGGATTCTGTGCACAGATCAGCAAAGATGTCCCTAAGAGGAAGTCCCTGGTGGGAACCCCCTACTGGATGGCTCCCGAAGTGATCTGCAGGTGTCTGTATGCGACTGAGGTAACGGCTCCCTCCACCACCCAGCCCTCCCAGAAGAGGCTTGGGGACACATAGCTCTTCTACTTGTGGTCTCCTCCAGAGCCCCCCACCCCGAATAGCCCCGGTTGTCGGGTTCCCACTTAGTCAATACCCTACCCCAACATCCACTGCCCCCTTCCCACTCTTGGTTGGATCTTCTCTGGCCTGTGACTTTGCTGCCACAAACTGGTCCCCAAAATGCTCTCCCCCAAGCGCAAGGGCAGGTTGGGGTATGGCCAGGCTTCCCCATGTGTGGTGGCCTTTCTAAGAGAGTGGCTGACAGCTGTGTCCCTGCAGTCAGTGGTCACTCACGCAGGTGGCAACTGACCACAGGGAAGGTGACCAGGAAGGAGGCCGGCTCACCAAGGAAACCTGGGACCAGCTGCTCCCCTCCCCCTGCAGCATGTTGCTACCAAGGGGCCAGACTCTGGCCAGTGGAGTCAGGGACATTCTCCTCCTGCAGGTGGATATCTGGTCTCTGGGCATCATGGTGATTGAGATGGTAGATGGAGAGCCACCCTACTTCAGTGACTCCCCAGTGCAAGCCATGAAGAGGCTCCGGGACAGCCCCCCACCCAAGCTGAAGAACTCTCACAAGGTCAGTCGGTACACAGGGTGTGACCCTGCAGGCCCCATTCTTCCTGAGGCTTCAAGGATCAGAGTCTGGGCTGTGAGGCCCAGCTTCTCCCTCCCACAGAAACCAGAGGGCCCGGGCTCCCGGAAAAGGCTCGTCTTTCTCCACACAAATCCCGCACCTTGGTGTGGAGCCTAGTCACAAACTCCCGTGGTCACTCCAACAAGTTTCCACCTGCAGACAACTGACAGGAGCCTGAAAGAAGGGAAAGCAAGGCCAGCGGGAGTCCCTGATGCCCTGGGAAAGAATCTAGAGAAGTTAACTGAGCAGTAACGCCTCTACCCCATCTGTCAGGGGAGGCATGCCAAGGCACACAGTGTTCCCAGTCTCCAACACAGAGAATTGGCTTGCCCTCCATCAATGTACATCCTAACCACATCTGAGCCAGCTTTTCCCTTAAAACCAGTGTGTGTGTGTGTGTGTGTGTGTGTGTGTGTGTGTGTGTGTGTGTGGTGTGTAACGCTTTTCTGGCAAATCCACCCAAACCCACAGTCCTTACCTGTGGGCACCCCCTGCTGGTAGCCAGCTCAGCACAGGGCTGCAGAGTGGCACTGCCACCTGGTGGCCAGAGTGAGAAATGTCCCAGAGGGTTGACGCTCAGTCTCTAAATGCAAAATAGTTCCGTAGCCCTGCTGGATACGAGGAGAGACAGGAAACACTTTCTGAGACAGCTGGTCCTTGGAACCCGCACTCCTGACCCCCTAGACTAGCAGATATTTCTAACTGGCTAATTCCCCAGAGGATGCATCCTTCCATTACAGCCTAAGACTCAGCCTTATCCCAAAATATTGACTCAAAATGAACCAGGGTAATCCCTTGACTTAGACTCTAAGGCTTAGAGAAATAAAGGAATCTTCCTTTTTCAGGTCCCACTTTGTTTTTTTCTATTTTTCAAAACACTCCTTCCTCGCTGACCTCTCTTTTTTATCTTCACTAAAGCCCTATGTAGCAGACAGGGAAAGCACATTTTATCATTAGCCCATTTTACAGATGACAAAACTGAGCTCTAGAGAAAAGTACAACTTGCTGGAGATTAGGGATAGACCCAGGACTGGATCACTGGGTACCAATCCCGTGCCCCTTTCCACAGAGCCTGAACACTGAGAGCCCTGAGAAGCAGCGTGGTGCATGGGCTGTATTTGGAGCTCAGCTCCCCAGCTCTCCTGGTATCCTAATTCCATTGCTCACCAGCACCCACTATAGGTGAACTGGCCACCTTTCCCGGACTGATGCTGACTTTCTTTACCTACCTGATAGTCCAGAAAGTACTGAGCCTGGGAGGAACCAGGAAGTAAGAAGCGAGAATTTAAGACTTTCAAATGACAGTGGGGCCAGGCAGATTGGGTCACCCCAAAGTGGCTGCAAACTGTGGCTTCCTCTCACTGCCCTGCCTCCACAGGTCTCCCCAGTGCTGCGAGACTTCCTGGAACAGATGCTGGTGCGAGACCCCCAGGAGAGAGCCACGGCCCAGGAACTCCTGGACCACCCCTTCCTGCTGCAGACGGGGCTGCCCGAGTGCCTGGTGCCCTTGATCCAGCTCTACCGCAAGCAGACCTCCACCTGCTGAGCCCAGCCCCAGAGTGCGCCTGCCACCTGTGCCCACAGGCAGGGGACACTGGGCCACCAACTTGCCAACAGGGCCTGGCTGCCTGCCTCATTCTCTCAGTATTCTCTCCAAAGATTGAATGTGAAGCCCCGACCCTGCCCTCCTGCCCCTCAGCCCACTGGGCCAGGCCGGACCTGCCCCTCAGTCACTTTCCCTCCCAAGAGTCCCCAGTTGCCTCTGGGATGATGGAGACCTCTTCTGCAGGATGACCCTTTGTTATCTGCACAGGGATATTTCTATGAAACATGGAGACCAGTGCTTCTGGCCACTGTGGCCAACACAGCAGAAAAGGCTGCTGAGGTTTTTTTTTTTTTTAAAGTAGTAGTACACGAGCATCCCAGGTCACCCAAGAGGCAGACTGCCTGTCTTCATCAGGATACTTGCTGTTCTCAGCTCCAATTCCAAATCCTGGGATCTGGAAGGTGTTTATTGCCTGACTCCATCTTCCTCCCTTGTGTCTGACTTCCTGAAGGCACAGTCCCACCTGCACCTGCTTCCCGACCCACCTGAGCTGACAACACACTCCCTGCACAGCCCGCGCCCAACTGTGAACAGCCTGCTCGGAGGCCGTGACGGGGAGGGGAATTTTCTGGGTGAAAGAGGAAGAAGGCAGCTGGTGGTAAAGTGGTCTCACTTCACAGGATGCGTGTGCGCGCACACGTGTGTGTGTGTGTGTGGTGTGGAGGAAGGTCACCCACGACTGTCTTCGGTTAGGCTTCTCCATCTTCTCTCCCACTAAACTCTGCTCTGAAGGTGACCTGCTTCCTTGGCCCGGTTTCCCACCTCTTAAGTCCCGGGGTTCTACCTGACCAGCGAAGAGGTCTGTATTGAGTCGAACACATCCTGGGGGCCTGGCCGGTTTCTGGGTTTCTCCTGTACTGTGGGATCTGAGAGCCAGGGACCAGAATGGTGAGGGAACAAACTTGTTTTACCTGTGAGCTTCATCTCAACAACCAGGTCATCGGGGACCCACTCTTCTTTTGTGTGCTTGGGGGACCTGTTTTCAAAATCCTGGTCTGGGAGAGGTGAACCAGCTCCCAATTCCATCATGTCACTGGAATGGGCAGCCCATTTGTGCAAACCACGTGCCCCTAGCTGCCTCCTCAGACACCTGTCTCCTTGTCCCCCTCCCCTCCCCACCTTCAGGGCTGCTGTGAGACAGGGAATCCCAGGGAAGAACTCCAGGTGTCTGGACCCTATCTAGATAATATTTTTAGATTCCTCTATCCCTAGTGGCCTGCTTTGGGGCAAAAAAAAAAAAAAATTGCAAGGACTTTTTTTAAGGGTCAGAGTTTTAAAAACAAAAGCATTGTCTCTTTTGTGAATTGTTTGCACTTGTGCCTGTTTTAAATTAAACGGAGTGTTCAAAACCTCTGGCCTTCCTGTCGTCCCTGGGAGTAGAGCCAGGCTGTCTTCAAACTGGACACACTGTAGTGGGTGTCCAGGGTGGCCCTCCCTCCTCCCTGCTGTGAGCCCCCCGACGGTCATTCTGATCCGCAGAAAATCCTACTCCCTGGTGGCATGTGGGCCTGAAATGAGGGCAGAGAAGAAGGGAAACAGGAAGTGGAAGGCCCTTGGGACTGAAAGAGCTGAGAAATAGACAGGGCTCCTTCCCAGGGGAGAGGAACCCAACCCAGAAAGCCAGGGCCGTGGGCTGTGCTTGCTGGCGCCACAGGGGCTGACGGCCACTTTCTGCAGCAGCATCTCCCTTCCCCCGTTTGCTTCCCCCCTGCCACCTCCCTGGAAAGTCAGAGGCTGCTCCCCTCAAACTGTCCATAGGAAGTGGCCTGGAACTGCTTCCAGTGAGAAAGCAGTCTCTGCTTCAGTTCTCACAACAGAGGGTGACCGTGAGGAGCTGTGAAAGAGCGCAACTGGAAACCAAGAAACCTGGGTCTTTAAACTTCCAGCTCTGACACTGATTCCAGCATTTACTTCCTGAGGTCTCATTCTACCCCCTCTCTGTCAGGGTCACTGAAACCTTCTACCCAGGAGCAAGGAGTCCTGCAGACCTCCTCCCCACAGTTCCCCACCTAGACAGCTGCCCTGGTCTAAGGGCCCCTGTCCCACCAGCTCAGCCAGAAGCAGCACCTGAGTCTTACCTCCAGGAAGCAGCCACAGTGGGCTGGGCAGAGATGGAGGCTGAGGGAAGGCGGAACCTACCTCCCAACCGAAGCCCACGGTCACGAGTGGTTGGCAAGGCAAAAAGAGGCCAGTTCTTGCAACTGAATAACACTGGATTTATTAACTATTCTTTTGAGCTCTAAGAGTCCTTCCACTGCACAGTGTCATTCCAAAAGCATGTGCGTATGTCATTTAGCCTCACACACAGACCGGTTCTGAGCTTGACCCGAGAGTACCAGCTCCAGTGGCACAGGTGACTTCACAATGACGAAAGCAACAAGAATTGGAAAAACAAAATGTTTAGAAAAGTCTCTTCTAAGCCAGATTGAGCTCGAGGGGACCCCAGCCTCAATGCCTTGGGGCTGACAATAAGGGGAAGTTCAGGATAGCGAAATGTGGTGAAACATCTAAGTTCTGCACAGAGCTGGGCCTGGTAAGAAATCTGCAAGAACAGCAAGGCAGTCAAACACACAATTCAGTTCAGACAGGAAAGATCTGCTGTGGTTTTTTTAGAAACATCACTTTCAACCACCAAACCCTTGGCAATTCCACAGAGGAGCCCTCATAGTTGTTTATCCAATAAAGAGGGCCCAAGGTGACGTTCAACCAGAAATCCCCATGTCGGCAACACTTGAAACATGACAGCACCTTCAACACAATGTGCAACCCAGACCCATGTCTTCAATGTGATATTTTGAAGAAGCCAAAATACTTGTATTCTTACACCATTAAAATTAAACTTCATAAAAATTAAACACAGTTGGAAAAGGATAAGTGAACAAGCAAGGATCAGAAAAAAGGAGTTTGCACTTGGGGCGTCCAATTACCACCCATCCCACCCCAGATTCTCTCCTTCTGGCTTTTCAGGCGTTTTTCAGAACTTTTCAGTTCAGCCGCCGCCCAGACAGTGGGACTGAGGAGAGGCAGATATTTCGGGAGAGAAAAATGGGGGAAGGGCAAAACACCCCAGAAACGAAAGCAAATCACATCAGAAAAAAACAGTGCACAATCAGCAGGTCTCAAGGTTCAGAAATCGTAAGGGACGGGTTGGAAGCTCCAGTTTCTCAGAAGACAGCAGGAGCTCTCTATATGGAGCCTTAACCTGGAAGATCTTGATGTCCTAAGTAAAGGGTCTGGCCTCCTGCTACTCCAAATGCGAGTTTTTTGTTCATTGTCCCTCACTTCACTGCTGTGAAATGACTTCAAGTATCCGGATTTAATACACTACAAGAGGAAGAGGATTCCATGGGTAAGTGCACAGGGAGGGAGAAGTACACAGCGGTGGCTCCAAATAAAACCACAAGGCTGAACTCCGAGCCTGGGCGCAGCGAGAGCGCAACTTTGCCACCAGGGGGCACCAGAGATCACGTCCAGTGTCTGGGCCCTCGCGGCCTCGCGGACCCCGGACTGGTGGAAGCACTGGGGAGGTGTCTGACACTTACACGAGGCCGGACCCTGATCACCCATCCCTCACCCCAGGCCCAATTTCTCATCACAGGTCATTCTCGCTCTGGGCAGTTCCCCTAGAGTTATTGGTGAGAAACCTTCCGTTCTGCAAAGATGAATAGATCGACGTCTTGAAAAGACCCCACGGCCGGCAGCTGAGGGGCTGCACGCTCAACCTTCGGGGTTCACAAAAAACTCCCCACGTGCTGCCACCCCACGGGCTGGGCACACAGGTTCGTGTGCTGGCGCTTCAGCAGGATCCTAGGGCACGCGATTCGCCAGACCCTCCAGACCCTTCTCGCTAGGCCGGCACAAAGATGAGGGCGGGGGCGGGGAGGGATGGGGACGAAGGGCCAGGCTAGGAAGGGGCCTTTAACCACCTCTCCGCAATTGCCTCTGACTCACTAATCTGCCCAGTACTGAAGCTGAGCCGGGCCTGCATCCCACGCTTTGGGGCAGAGGCAGGGGTCCTTGGTCTCGAGCTCTAGCATCCATTATCCACCCTGCCCTCTATTAACGGCCCAGGGAGAAGCAGGAACCGTTTAACAGCCCTCTTCCAGCTCTCAAAGGAGTTTGATATAATTTAAACCCGGACCTGCCGTTCGTGTGGGCTTCAGACTCCCGCGCGCCGCCGCCTTTAACGTGGCAAACACTTCAGTCAATTATCCCCCTCGCGGAGCTTCTATTTAAAGAGACATTGTCAGGTTCTTAAGCCTCGGATCAGACCCGCTGCTTTCTGCTTCACATACAAAGACTCAAAACACGAGTTCTTTGAGGATTGGAAGAAATACAATTAATCAAAGCCTTCGCAACCGTTCCCCCCTGCGGGAGCACCCACGTGCAAGACCGGGAGCTGCGAGGCGGTGGGGGCGGGGGAAGTGCTAAGTCCTTTCCATTTCAGGCCTCTGAGAGTGAGAGGAAACAGGCTCAAGAGCCCAGAGCTGGGCTGGGCGAGGGGGGCGAGGGGGGCGCGTGAGCGGGATGGGGGGAATGACCCCACATTGTCGATGAAGTTGAATCTTGGGTCTGCCTCCGGCTGAGGCAGAAGAAGCTGGTTCAAGGGACAACTAGCATTCCTCCCACCCCCAAACTATGCTTTCAGTGTCTTGAGGCAGGAGTTTCTCCCCCTAAAAATGTAACCTCCAGACTCCTTCCCTCCCGTTCAGAAAGGCTCCGAAGCCCATCTCCAGGCTCCCCTTCTCCATCACTCCAACACAAGGGGAAGGGATACTTAGGTCATGTGGGGCATTACTGTCAGCATCACTGGGGTAGGGGGGGCAGGGGTTGAGGGGTGGGGGAGTGGGAGTGGGGGGGGTAGGGAGGCTAGGCCTTTGTTCTACAGGACAACTCTTCTGCCTGGCTGGCTGACTAGGGTGTGGGAAAACCCGGCAAGGGGAAGGAAACCCCGCAGGAGCCTGAAAGACGCAGGAGTGCGCCTTAGCGCTCAGGGAAGAGGGTCCAGCTGGAAAGCTGTAGCCTATGGATCCAGTCTTCTACTTCTCGCTTCCAGGACTGGAACGGCAGGCCTTTAGAAAAGGTGAGAGACTCGGGCAGGGAATACCAACAAGCACAAAAAAGAAATAAGATAGGGGTCCTTTTCGGAGAGAGGGCTGAGGGAGGTCTCACCTTGGCAGCAGGGACAGGTGCTAGGATCTGGGGGTGGGAAACTGCCAGGAAGGTGAGGGACCTGGGAAAAAGAAATCCCAGTGGAGCAGAGAGGGCAAGGTGGGGGGAGCAGGGCTCGGCCTCGAGGCTGTTTACTGCTGAGCGTGCAGCACCACGGCCTCTGTGCCCGCCTGACAAGGCTGAGGCCCAGGCACCGAATGGGGCAGAGCGTTGGGCTCTAATTCTGGGCCGCTCTCGGGCCCAGGTGCTTCCCCGACCAGGCTGGGGATGTCTGGAGCTGTAGAGCGTCGGCGCAAACCCGAGCGGCCAGAGCCGGGGCCGCCCTCGGGGTGGGGGCTAAGGCCGACGGGGGCTTGCACTAAGGTTGGGGGCGCTCCCTCCAGCACCTCCTGCGAACGCCACCGCCCAACGCCTGAAGACTGGGGCGAGTGTGGTTGTGCCATCAGGGCTCCCGCCCGCAGTCGAGCCGCCTCCTCCTCGGTCACGGCACCCAACG